TGACCGGGCGTAGAGGCAGGAGAGAATCGGGCAGATGGGGCGGCACTGATGCGTCGACCTGTAGTCATGGAGGGGCCCGAGTTTCGTGATCGAGGGGACGGTCGATAAGACGGACGTCGTAGTGGAGGCTCAGGCTTGGGTTCAGGCTCAGCTGGTTTCTCATCACTCACCATAACCCAATTCCTGCCAAGTTCATCTTTGGTGTCTGTATGTCTTCGTTTCGGATGTGGTGCTGTTGGTGTAGATGCGCCGCTGTTGCCGCCTTGGTCTGCGTTATCTGACCGATGCTGGTTGAAGTAATCCTCTTGCGATGGCGGAAATCGGCCGGGAAGATGCTGACTCTCAAATAGTGTCTGGTCCAATTCTTCGACCCTACCGGAATTCATCGTAAAGGCCTTACCACCACCAGCCTGGAAACCTCGAAATGAACCTGTCTTGCAAAACTCCCATACACGTCCAACAACACCTCCTATAGTCGAGAATGCGAAGCTACCCCAGCCTTGGGACGGGATAGGCTGAGGAGGCAGATTGAACAGTTGTGTTGGTCCAGCTCCATGATCGATATCGTCGTGGGTTCGTTTTGAGCCAAGCGCTTTGCGATAGTCTGTGTCCGAATACATGCTCTCGCCAAGAATGCCGCTATCAAAAGGACCAGAACTCGGCGTATCAAGCTGTCCAGCAAGTTGGTATCGCATTTCCTCATTCCTCATCTGAGCCACTGGCGTTCCAAAATAACCATGTCTATCAGCATCATCCTGGAAGCGGAATTCCTGCGATCGTGATATATCATGGCAATGTCTCTTTCGTTTCGTAGCTTGTCCATCGGGGGTTGCTGTGCTGCGGGGTGAAGCATACCCGTAGCTGGTGCTCGAGCTTGGTGAGATAGGTGGGCGAAACAGGCCAGGATGCACGCCTTCTCTATTGAAGCCGCCCGGCATATGGAAATGCGAAGGGATCGTCATTCTGCCTGGGGTTTAGGGCTATCAAAGCTGAAAGGTATGTGCGCTCACGCGCGTGGCCGATAGATAGACGAATTGACCTTATCGAGTGGAAGCGAAGCTGTAACTCACGGCCAAGCTTAATAGCAGCCGAGACACATCTCAGGTCGACTATCGTACAAGCGGGTCTGGGGTAAAAGCAATCAGAATATTCGGATCTGGAGACGAGATTGCAATCGACGAGGAAGCGATACTCGGAGGGCGATTTGCGATGGCGAGGGGCGATATTGTTGAGCGCCTCGTGACTGGGTGAGATAAAAGGTTGTGTCTTGTGATGACGAGCGCATGGATGGGAATGGAGGGGGGAGGCTGCCTGGCTGCAAGCGCCCAACTCTAATAGACGCAGCCAAAAATTTGGCGCTCGTATGAGAGGGGAGGGCACCGTAGATGCACGCACAGTATTGGAGATGCCGCCTTGAAAGTGAGGCTCGATTATCGATTTATGATGTATTGGATTAGAGAGATGGTCTGGCGGCAAAATGTAGACGGGGCAAGTAAACAATGGTTGGGGGGCCAGCGCCTGTGGCCAGCGTCAGAGACGAGGTGTGATTGGTCAGTTGATAGTGATCCCAGCAGTTGCTCAAGAGCCGCGATAACAGAGCACGGTACTCTGTAATGTGTATGATGAGCGAAGAAGACTGCACGAAATAAGTAAAAAGTGATGATATATTCAGGTGGGCAGTCCCCTTTCTTGCCCTTCGGGTTGGTATGCGGAGAACGGGAAGCTTTCGGTTTGTTGCCGACTTATAGCTCCAGCTTCTTCTTGTGTGGCTGATTCCAAGAGTTTGGTCCACTTGATGGGGATCGGCAGGGTTCAACTAACCAAGAGCATCAAAAAGCGAACATTAGAAAAACAGTTCATAGTTACAAAAGGCAAAAGTCTCCCTTCTCCCCTATCTATACCAAATGTTGAGCCGTTAAGCTCATTTGCATTACTTCATTGTCTTGGTTAAATTACCAATATCCCTGGTTGTCCTAGGCGTTTAATGATCAACACAGGGGCCTTCAAACAACGATCACAACGTTGAGAGGTCATTGAGTTCAAGTATGCTTTACTATCGTTAATCGTTGCCTTAACTTCTATTCAGTCTATGCCTCATATCGCGTGAACCGCTCTAAACTCTTCTATTTCATGCGCCATCACCCCAAGGTCATTGGTATCATTCGCCCATCCTTCTCATAAGTCGAAATATTCGTTTCCGAGCACTTAAGCCTTGTTGTAGTAGTTGTCCTGCTGGCCCTTTCGCTCAGATGTAACACCTCCATTGACACCCTGCTCTCCATGAACATGCTCCTTGCTTCCCCAGAAAGCCTCCCGCTCCTTAAGAACCTCCTGGCCCCAGGCCTTCATCTCCGGCAGTGTCATCCTGGTCGCGACGTATGCAAACTCGCCAAGATCGACCTTACCCTGACCGCGCTTCTCATACTCCACCATCTGTAGAAGAAGCTCCATCTTGTCGACGTCGTGCACAAAGTGACTGTCCAGTGTCTCGGAGTCCTCATATTCCTGCCAAATAGCGCGGATGTCCTCGCCTGTTGTACCGCCTGCAACGTTTCGTAGCAAGTTCTTGGTCAAAAAGTCCATCGTCTCCGCTTCGCGTCGGCTCTTCTCGGGCTTGGGAACGCCGTCGACGGGTGTGATGTCGCCGACCAAGAGTTCCGCCATATCGTGAATAAGGCACATCTTCATGCACTTTGGAAGGTCGAGTTTCGGGGCGAGAGAGGGTGGCGCAAACATGGAGATCAGAGACATGCGATACATGTGGTCGGCAATAGACTCTCCCCTGTCGAATGTCAGTGACGTCTTGAAGTCGAGGGACCGAATTCCTTACCTGGAGATGCCAAATCGCCTCCATCCTTCTCGCTTGGTTGTCTTGAGTCTTTCGAGCATGTGGAAGAAAGGGAGCGGCGAAGAGGACTCCTCAGCAGGAGCACCGCCAGGAATCTCCTTGACCACCTTGTCAACAGTCCATGGATCGGCGACCTTGACCATAGGCGTGAAACCCAGATCTCCAATTACTTCCTCAGGGCGAAGATCCACACGTCCATTCTGCTTCTCTGGCTGAGAACCCATCTTTGCAGTAGAGTACAATCTGTATCGTCGCGGGGTAAATGTTGAGTTGCTAGTGCAAGGTAAAGAAAGCGGTCGTAGCAAGTTGACAGTGGTTTTATTGGTACGAGTCGTTTGCGGAAGTCGCCTACAAACAAAGATGGTCATAACAAGGTTACAATTGACAAAGGTGTCACAAACAAGAGCCTAGAACGACAAAAGAATGTTGGTTGAGCGGGTTGTTTGTTAGACTAGTTGGTGGGTTTGAAGTCCAGGTTTGTGCCAGTGCGGAATTGATCAATGGTCAGCTAATAGCCCCAGTCGTTTGGTGCGTCATATGTCATTTTACAGGGATAGAAGCTGGGATCTTGTCTGTGCCTACAGGGTAACGACACCACAATCACTAACACAGTGATTGAGTGACCATTTTATTTTCTGGTCATGTTGTGAATCGCAGTTCCAAGAGACTTGCCCTTTTTTAACAGTGTTTCGTCACTAGTCATTCTAGATTCATTTGCCAGATAGTGAGTGCTGGAGTAGTCGACTCGTTTGAAGAAGTCTTATCGCCAATTCCGGGAGCATCGGAAATATACTAGATGTTATAATTTTCTTATGCCAAAAGAAGAAGCTCTTGAAGGTCAAGCCAGTTTTAGCGATAGATCATACCATGTCAAGACCTTGAAATACAAAAGGCCCTAATTTCCTATTGGTCTAGTAGTCTCCTTCTCAATGTTTCGCTACTATTAGAGTCGAGGATTATCCATCTTTGGCTCGGTAATAGTAGGACCGTGAGCGTAGTCTAACACGGTGTAAATTAACACAAAACCTCACTGATTCATAGAAAGGCATTGAAGCACGAAGCTTTAACTCTCAAGCCAATAAGATTCCGTTGAGCTCTGATTTGCTTTCTTACGCAGCTGGAGAGTATCATCTCATCACTAACACCGACATTGATCACGCACGTGGGGTTCCGCCGCCAAGGACCAAAAGTAAATTTAGCTCCGCCTCAATCTGATCTGCATGAGCCTCATCTTGATCCATTTCGGGTACCTATTCAACCTCACTCCCGCATGCGAATCTTACGAAGAATAATCGAGCCTTTTGTTCCACAGGCTCGCACGATGACAACAATCGCTTCACTAAAGCGGCTTCCAGCCAAATCACTCTCTGAGAAAATACTCGAGGAAGTCAATGTCACAGATCCCACATTCGCTGTCATCGATGTTCGTGATAACGGTAAGTTAGCTTTCAAACCTTCACCGAAGAGAAATTCTTTTCGGCTCTATTTGCTTCTGTGATGGCGCAGCTGACTCTTGAAGATTACATTGGTGGACATATCAAGGGCTCAACAAACATCCCCGCACATACTCTTGACGCCATGATGCCAACTCTGGTCCGTCGCCTGAAAGACAAAAAGACAGTTGTATTTCACTGCGCACTGAGTCAACAGCGGGGTCCAAGTGCCGCACTAAAGTACCTGCGTGAAAGGGATGGTCTTTTGAAGTCTATGGGTGAAGATCCCAAGGGTGAGAGCGGTCAAGATGTTTTTGTGCTGGATAGGGGATTTTCAGGATGGCAAGAGGTTTACGGAGATGATGAACGGTTGACTGAGGGATACGTTAAGGATTTGTGGGATAATTATTAATTTATTCATGAGCTAGAGTTGAGTCTTCCAATAGAGCTCTTAATTCCATCTCATGCTTCCCATTGTGTTTTGACCAAGACTTTTCGAGAGACTGGCGGTTGCGTGGCAAAGAGAGTGATGATGATTGTGCGGTCAACCTCTAAACGGTAGAGTACTGTGATGGTGGTGATGTATGTTCATCATAAGAAAAAGAGAAGAGGAGTCCCATTCCGCATTATGCTTGGAATCCAAGAAAAGGTTAGTCCAATGATACTGGCTATGAAGAAAGCCTACTCACAGAAACCCCAGGATCGCCAATCAGCCTTCATCACATGAGAAGCCCTTTCTTCAGTTTTCTGATTTTGAAGCAAAGAATGACGACAATAAAAAATAGAATGCCCGTCACTATAGAGAACACCGCGATGCGTTCTGCTGATTTTTCCGGACACGACCACCAGTCGTGCTCGTACATGTCTTCGCCTGTGTCGTCGCCCGTGCCATAGTCACCCGAGGCGTAAGACTCTGACAAATCGTAGTCACTATGATGTGGACTGATGTGATTGCCGTCGACCCCTCGAGCCTGGAGGTGATGTAGAGGAGGTATATTGCGCAGTGTGAGGGTGGATGGTAAGGATGGCATAGTGATGATAGAGAATTATTGGCGAGAAGTGGGATGCTAGATCCTGATGCTCTTAGATGGATTAAAGATAAGAATGAATGGAAGTTAGATGTGAAAGAGGGTGGGCATTGGTTGAAGGAGGTGCTGCCGGCGGAGGGGTATAAGGTAAGTAGGTAGGAGGGCTTTTGATCAAACTCCAGTAGTTGGTAAGGCAAAGCTCAGTTTCCAATGGACGTAGAATGGATTCAGGTCCAAGCAATATCATTTGGTCAGCTGGAGGGACTTATATAAATACTTTCTCGCAGATAATTGTTAAAGGTTGATTACTTACAAGGCGTAGTGAAACTTTGGATGATTCGAGAACCCAGCTTTGAACATAGTCATAAGCTTTCCCTCCATAATTGGTCAAAAGAATAGGGCAAACAGATGAACTCTCACAGAAATCTACTCTCAGATATTATAAGACACTATCTATTCCTATGATTTGTCCATATTTTACCTCCCCAACGCTCAAACACTTGTCAAGTCAATTCCCTGAACCCTCTCATCATAAACATCTTTTCCAAACTCCTTCCCAAAAGATCCCCATTCTCCAAGATGCTTATTCCAACAAACTGGGAGAATCCAAGGTCTGGGATCATACCTACGGGGGGCCCCCTCTCTCCGGCCCTCCCCTCTCTCGTCCTCCTTTTCCCACCAAGACCCCATACAGCGACAAGAGACCAGACCACAAAGATCACAGGATCAAACTGAAAGAAGAACCAAGCCGAAAGAGTCACAAGCTTTTGATGCCCCATCACAGTCTTGTTCATGGTCCAGCCCATGGTCTCCCTTTGGCCACTGGCTCTGAGCTCCGGGATGGTCTCGGCACCGCTGATGTCTCCCACATTACCGCACAACCTCTCCATCCCCTTCAGGTTACTGGCAAGATTGATGTTGAGAGCCATCAGTCTGAGTCCGAGGCGTCTGAATGCGCTTCCTTCGTTCTCGTCATCGTCATGATTGTTCTGGTAGCCGCAATAGCCGCAATAGGCGTGCTTGCCCTTTTCAGGAGGGTGATACGAAACTTTTCGAGGCGTCGTGGTCAAAGACAGGTGTGGAACTGGGTTAAGAAAGCGGACGGTGCAGACCTTTCGAATCTGCTTGATCACCTCAAGCAGAATCCACACATGTTCCGACCGTACCATCTTAACATGCTCCGGGATATATTGGCAAGTCATGAGGGTCCTTCTTATCTCCCAACATACGACAAGGCTTCTGGAACAGGCCATCTGGACTCAACCGACTGTGCAACTCCCTCTGGACCACCGCCTGCTCATATGGCCCCTTCGCAGCCCGCGCCCTTCACGCCCGGAGCACCAAACTATGGGTATCCTCCTCGTCCTATGAGATGCCCAAAACGGAGGATGCGTGCGATTTGATGATGTGATTCTCAGCTAGAAGAGGGTTTGCACTTTTTGTGGTGACTGGGTAAACTTGGGAATAACTCTGCACAAACACTTGTTCATGGCATCATGATTGGAAGGAACTAGGCAGTAAAAACTTTGTGCTGGAATATGGAAGTTAGAAATGTGTGAAGGACTCGAAAATAAAAGCTTTAGAAACTTAAACTTATCTTCTCACGAGAAATAGTTTTGGTGAAGTAACTCAAAAAGCCAGCAGATGTTTGCTTGAACATTAACTTTAAGACGCAACTTGGGGCTATATAAGAAATCCATACTCACATCCATGACAACATCATTATTCCCCCCTCTTCTTCTATTACACCTCGATTCACATCCACGAAAAGAACGCCTCTATTCACCAACGAAGCAGACACCATGGGCTTAAACTGGTATCAAGGCGGGGGCGTTATCCTCACTATCCTTGCCGTCATTTACATCCTTGGCCTCATCAGGTTCTATTGCTGGATACCAAAAGCACAGACTAAGGACGAAGAGCAAGGAAACATCGTCATAAGTCGGGAGGAAAACTATGAAGGCATATTTGTCAATCCCCGTCCGGAACAGAATCCCCATCAGCCTGTGCCGTCTAACACTCCTATTTCCCTTCGTGCGCCCCACAAGACTCTGCCTCCGGCTTACAAGACTGTGCCTACTCCTCCGCCTTGTTATACTCCGGGACTCAAGGTTTTTAAACCAGACTCAACAAAGCCATCGTCTGTATGAGTTGTCTAAGCCCCTGATCTCATCGGGCTTTGAGGCTTGAGTTTCTTTACTGTGGACAATCAGACCTTGGAACTCTATCAGTTCACATGTACCTCAAGCCAAGGAGGACTCATATGTTTACTCATCAGCCTCAACTTCAAACTTTCTTTACTTCTTTACCGAATCATTTGAAACCACGACTTATATCACCAAGGTTATCCACCAGTACCTTACCCCCTTTTCAACCACACTCAACTTCCGACTGGCTCACCGAAGAGCAACCTCACAGCCAATCTTCGCCCATTCAAAAATCCTGCCAATAGTATCTGATATACTACAGCTCGAAAACTTGATAACCCTCATCACTTATACCATCTCTCCCCTTATCACTTCATCAAAAAGGAGAACAAAAGAAGTCCAACATGGACATCCCTTTACCCCCAGAGATACAAAGAGTTCACTACCCACAATCTGAACATCCAAAATCGAGCCTTGGGGAAGTGGCCGGTCTTTCATACGTTATCTGGATCATTGGCATCATCTGTACGATTGGCATAATTCTCCTACTCGTCAAGTGTTACATGAAGCGTCGAGCTCCGCGTTCAACCGCACCTCCTCGAGGAGACCAACGCGATGTTGAACTTGGAAACATCAACGACCGTCGTGAGAATACCACCAAGAGATCGACAGTTCATGGTCGACCTCACGTATCACCGCCTCCGTATTGTCGTCATGCTGATACACATATGACGCACTATGCTGCTATCCCCCAATGATGTGAGTTGCATCAGGCATTTCCAATTATGCAGTCCCATTCCGAAGATACGCACCGCAAGTTTGAGGGTCGGGCAGATATCAGCCAAGTTGCAGTTGACTTGGATCAGGAGGCAGACGAGGGTGGACTGGACAAATCACTATAGAACTAGTCAAATGGCTAAATTCATCATCAAATATCATAAACTTGTCTATAAACTTGTCAGAGTCTTACCTGTTAAATTAGTTAGAACATCCTAAGCTTATCCAAGTATTTCCATCACTTAGGATCGAGGCTTGATGTCCTCTCTCTCATACCTATAGACAAGTCTATTAGCATCTCACTGGAGACTTAAAAAAGTGAGTAGCTACTTTTTTTTAACATTGTATTGGTGACATCTATCCACACAAGCTTAACATATACTACATAATTTCCAGCAAACGCTCAGCGCCAATTCCATTCCTCGTCTTCAAAAGGGTATTTTAAACAATAAACGACCAGATCACGCCTTGCCCACCCATCCCGAATTAATAAAGAAATCGAATATCCGCCCTCCCTTCTGCGAGTCCAGCCTGCATATCTCCTTTGCCTGCTTCTTTTTCAATGTGCCGTTTGTCTTGAGAGCTTCCTTGAGGATCTGCTCCTTGATCATGAGATATGGCTTGGGCTGTAGTCTGATGACTTCGCAAAGCTTGACCTCTTCTGGTGTGAGGAGATGTAAATCTGGTGCTGTGTCTTGGGACATGGGCATTGGTTGTACGCCGGAGATGGGTTGGGCCGTGTATCTCTGCTTAGGAGTTGCATGGCCATTTACTCCGTTCACTCCGTTGATTCCATTGGTCTGGCCGTTGACCTGTCCGTTGACCTGCCCGTTTGTCTGACCATTAGCTTGACTATCAGTATGACCATTCGTTAATGGCTTTACATCTCCATTCACTTCCACACTAGGTGTTGGGAGTAGTCGGGCAGGAAGTTCTGGGGCGATAAGAAGAGCAGCTCCACTTGCAGGCTCGGGCGGAGGAGGTTGCTTAGACCTCTGTGCAGATGCCAGACGCTCGCGATCCATTGAACCCATGGGAATTGCCTTCTGAATCCTTGAAGCCTTCTCATTCTCGTACTTTTCGCCACTTCGAAGGTCGCCGATACGCATGTTTCGCCACTCTTGTAGCTGCGTAATGGCTTGTCGTAGGTTAAGTTCATCTAGAAGACCTTGATTGAGCTCCTCAAAGTCTTGCTGGTTCATCATGCGGGCAAATGGCTTGGCCTTCTGCAGCAAATCCCTTTCTTCTTTAGTCCGCCTCTTCTCCAGCTTTGTGTTCTCCCTATATTCGAGAAGATTGTGCTCAAAGATGACCTTTTTACGCTCCACACGTTGTGTCAGTCGAGCGTTGTAAATGTCCATCACTGTGAGCTTGAGTTCCATTTCGGGTTCAAGTTCACCTGTCCTGGGGTTCAATCCATCACCCGGATCGAACTGCATCAACTGAACAGCTTCTTCTGCCTCATTTGCATATTCAGTCTCGAACTCCAAACGACCAGGCATATATCCTTGAATCTCGTGACAACTAGGTACACTAGCTGTTGGTTTCGTTTTAGGCTGTAGAGCGGGCGCGTTCTTAGCTGCGTCTCGTCGCTCCTCTATTCTTCGCTTCTTCCGTGCTTGGAATTCTTCTCTGGGGATTTCGTTGGCCAATTCGCAATCGTGAGGGCTACACCGTTCCGGTAGTGGAAAGTGAGACGAGTCGACGTAAGTCGATAAGTAGTGATCGCGAACCTCATCCTTCTCACGGAAACCGCCAATATGATCTGCGATATCGGCCCATGAGCCAAGACCATATATTTCAGCGCCCTCGAGGAGGAGTAATTCTTCATCGGCGCCCCATTCTCGATCGAAGATAGGGAATGAGTTTTGTTCAATCACACGAAAAGCGTGTGTCGCGGGGTTGTGAGCATTTCGTGATTCACCTTTGGCGAAACACGAGACACAAAGATCGAAGTCACTGCAATCTGAGTCGGCGCATCGGATGCGGACCTATATCAACACCAACATGATTAGCAACCCCATCATGACATCGTATTGAGTTTAGCCGGTATATCTCCGAAGCGCGTCTTCACGTTTCCAAACAAGATTCAGGCAACAGCCAACACAGCAAAATGACCTACCGTAGATGTAATATCTGATGAGCACACATCACAAACGTATTTAACACCACCTTCGCCACCTCTTGTGATTGTTTTCTTGCGTATCACACCCATATCGCCGGCTGCGATGTCGGGCCGGGAGGCTGTCGATACCCCCCCTGTCTAGAAGTAGCAGCGGGTTTGAGGCAGCGCAGGGCACGATGGAAGTGCAAAAGAAGACTTTTGGTGATGCGCGATTGTTGGGGACGATGACGCGACGCGAAATTCGATGGAAAATATCGGTTTGAGGTTGTTGTTGATGGAATCGGTGATGGGTCGATTTGTCGAGGGGCGGATGTTGTTGATTATGGCGTCCAGGCTTGCTCTGACAGGAGCTGGTCTGGGGCTGAAGTGCACTGGACTTGAGCTTGCAGGGCGCGGGTTAGTTAGGTTGTTTCGAATGGGGAGCCAGTAGCCGCTACCAGTAACCCCACGCTAGAGTCATCATAAGTCACGTGGAAGAGTACTCTCCGGGCCGCATATCCCCGCTACGAGCAAGTGACGCCAACCCCCAATATTGAATCTCCACAGTCCAGAAGTGATGTTCGGATTTGAGTGAGAGAGAATCATTGCATTGTGAAGGTGCTTGAGTTTTCCACCAAAGATTTAGTTGTTATGGACGCTAATATGAAGCTTAGTACAGCATATGGTGCTACAAGTAAATGTTGATACCGCTCCTAGTTGAGATCACGACAATTCCTCATGAACCAGGTTACCAGTCTTATAACTTGATCACTAACACAACAGTCGGCAGCCCACTCATAAAAAAGACTCCCCCGAAAACACGGCCGAGAATATCACCGTTGAACCGCACCATTCAGAATCCCCGGGGAGTCTGTATTAGTTAGCTATTTATCTTCTATCTTCCATCACTAGCCTCGGCTTTTAGCAATAATAAATTGAAGCTGAACCCGTCTTAAAAACATTCATTGACTCTCATCAACCCCTCATTCACTTTATACTGTCACCCCACTATCATCATGCCTGATCAAATTCTTGACGATATCTCTCATCGTCGATACAATCCCCTCACGGATTCATGGCTGCTTGTATCGCCTCACCGCACGAAGCGACCTTGGCAGTGAGTTACTTATGCCCTGTTTAAGAACCATCTGACATGAAACAGAGGCCAGCAAGAAGCTGCTGTCGCATCAAAACTTCCAGAATATGACCCCAAAGTACGCTCATGACATCACATCATAACAACTCAATCGCCTGACAAAACCAGTGTTATCTCTGCCCCGGCAACCCACGAGCCGCTGGCGACCAAAATCCGAACTACGAAAAGACCTTTGCATTTGTCAACGACTATAGCGCCGTTAAGCAAGAGCAACCTGATTATGACGCGAAAGCTTCATCGAACGACCTGGAATCTCTTCTCCTCCAGGCCCAGGGTGTCAAGGGCGTGTGTTACGTGCTCACTTTCTCACCCAAGCACCACGTTACACTTGCCGACATGACTGCTGAGGAGATTGTTCCGGTCATTGAGCATTGGACTCGAATCTACGCCAACCATTTGACACCGTCAAACCCCCGGGCCACTGACGCTAACAAGCTTGCTATTTCAATGCCGAAGGACGCTGCACCTTCTCCTGAGGAGCAGTATCGATATATGCAGATCTTTGAGAACAAGGGTGCTGCCATGGGCTGTTCTAACCCTCATCCTCATTGTCAGGTCTGGACCACATCAACCATGCCCGAAGAGCCAGGCAAGGAGCTTGTGCAAATGAGCAAGTACCGAGAGCAACACGGCGGCCGACACCTCTTAGGCGACTACGTTAAGCTTGAACTTGAGAAGCAAGAACGAGTTGTCTGGGAGAACGATGCTTTTGTGATTGTATGCCCCTGGTGGGCTGTATGGCCTTTCGAGGTCCTCGTTCTTCCCAAGCGACATATCCGATCTCTCCTCGATTTCAAGCCAGAGGAGCGACTTCAGTTCGCCGAGGCCATCCAAGAAGTCACCCGAAGATACGACAATCTATTCGAATGCAACTTTCCCTACAGTTCTGGTCTTCACCAGGCGCCTCTTGACGGAACACCTGAGGAGTTGGACAGCGCATATTTCCACATGCATTTCTACCCACCTCTGCTGCGTTCCGCCACGGTCAAGAAGTTCCTCGTAGGTTACGAGCTTCTGGCCGAGCCTCAGCGCGATATCACTCCTGAGCAGGCCACAGTTCGTTTGAGGAATTGCGGAGGAGAGCTATATCGCAAGAATCTATAGGCATAGGGCCCGAGCATTAAAACATTAAAATCTAAACTTTTTTATCTAATAATAAGTTGCCGTTATGCCGATTCCAGTGGCATCTAGTATTTGTCTGCCATGTATATATTACATTCACCGCCACTCACCAGTCTCACCATTTCTCGCCTGATTTAGTTGTACTCGACATAGTAGTCACGGACAAGAGGCATCCAAACCAGAGAGATGGAAGCCAGGGTGAAAGGGAAGTACTGAGGGAGACCAAAAGTCATGGTCTTGAAGACGAAGAGCTCACTGGCAAAATGTCCCAGGGCGACAATGTATGTCCAGTAAGCAATGGTGTAAACAGGACCAATGTGGAGGTTATAAGCTGCGTAGCATCGAACAACGCAAGTAATAAGTGTCCAGGTGCCGAAAAGTCTTCCGGCAAGGGGAGTAAGCTGATCGGTAGCCTTGGGGTCGTTTTGAGCAGGAACCAGCTTGTTAATCTGATCCTCTGGCTCGAACTTGTCGGTCTTGGGAGGGAGCTTGGGGTTGCGAACGAATTTGCCGTTGTAGACTCGTCGGGAAAAGTGTAGGGTTGTATACGTCTGTAGAGAGTTACCGATCGAAATGATGGACAGCTAGAGTGAGTGGTCAGCATCTTATTTGGTTCTTGGGTGTAGGGGGAGTGGCTCTTACGATGATCATGTAGTAGGGTAGAACACCCTTTGCTTCGGGGAGGATAGACTTGAGAACATCCATTTTGACGAAATTGGAGACAAGTTGAACTGAATAAGCGGGAATCAGAAGAATCTCAACAACTGTTATTGCAATGGTTGCAATGCAGTTGTAGAAGTAAAATGGCGGGTTGAGATTGGTGTAAGACGAGTTGGATGGCCTGTTTTTGGTGGGAGAGAGGGACCTGTAATCGGGGACCAAAGACCGAAAGAAGCTTGGACCAACTCAACAACGTCAGGGGTAATAACACCTAAAAAATCAATTCAATTAATTGTCCGGGCTTGAGAGCCAAGACCCAATTCAAGAGCCGAGGGGCATACTGTACTTATCTTGTGATTGTCGCCTTTTCTTCTTTTCTTCCTCCTCCTTTTTACATAGGCAGCTTATTTTCGTTGCACTCTTCAACAATGGATGCCATTACAGACTTCCTCCATAATGTACCGCAGCCTCTTCAGTGGGGTCTTGCTGGTATTGGTGCTCTCTTCCTTGGATCCAAGATCTTGAGCTATCTCCAGCTTGTCCTCAGCGCTTTCGTCCTTGGAGGAACCAACGTATGTGCTTTTACAACCCTCAATTGAGCTCTACTGATCATTATGTCTACAGCTCCGCAAGTATGGAAAGCCTGGAACTTGGGCTGTCATCACCGGTGCCTCTGATGGCCTCGGCAAAGAATATGCTCTGCAGCTCGCTGCCAAGGGCTTCAACCTCGTCCTCGTTTCCCGAACCCTCTCCAAGCTCGATAGCCTCTCTGCCGAGATTCAACAGAAGTACCCTGGAAAGGGTCTGCAGGTCAAGGTTCTTGATATGGACTTTTCCCAGAACAACGATGCCGACTACGAACGTTTGAGCGAGCTTATTTCTGGTCTTGATGTTGGTATTCTCATCAACAACGTTGGTCAGAGTCACAGCATCCCCGTTTCTTTCCTCGAGACCACCAAGGAGGAGCTCCAGAACATTGTTACTATCAACTGCATTGGTACTCTCCGAGTTACTCAGGTCGTTGCTCCTATTCTGAAGCAGCGAAAGCGCGGTCTTATTCTTACCATGGGATCTTTCGGTGGCTGGACTCCTACTCCTCTCTTGGCGACATACTCTGGTAGCAAGGCTTTCCTTCAGCAGTGGAGCAACGCTCTCTCCGCTGAGCTTGCCGATGACAATGTCGATGTCTACCTTGTTCTGAGCCACCTTGTCACCACCGCCATGAGCAAAGTCCGCCGCCCTAGTCTTCTTGTCCCCAACGCTCGCAACTTTGTCAAGGCTACCCTCGGCAAGATTGGACTTGGTGGTTACCAGACCGCGCCTAACACTTATACCCCTTGGTGGAGCCATGCTTTCATGCTGTGGTTCATTGAGAACATCCCTGGTGCTAATGGTCCCATCACTATTTTCTTCAACAAAAGGATGCACGAGGACATTCGACGACGAGCTCTCCGCAAGGCTGCTCGCGATGCTAAGAAGCAGTAAATGAAGGATAAAAATAGTAGACAAGAAATAGGTCAAGCGAGGAGGATATTCAGAACATAATGGAAAAGGAGGAATGTGACAGTTGTGGAGGTTTACTCAGCTATCATGAGAGCACGTTGGTGGTATGATAACCGTAGTGTACTACAAAAGATGCAACGATCTCAGAGTCTGTAAAATGAAGTATGAAAGATCTCGGACATGACCGTCATGTTTGCCGTGCATATATGGCCGTTCCGGTTTGCAGGACAAGGAGACATGTACATTGTGCTACCAGAGCTACCTGTGTTTGTTTGCCCAGCAACAAATTAACTTGTACTGGTAGACTTAATTTGAGTCAAGCGGAAAGGTGGATCAAAGAACCTGCATGCTCATAGACCATTACAGCCTACTTATAAGGTTGGTTATTGGACGAGTACTTCCAAATATAATTAATAAGTGAGCAATTCTATTGTCTTCAGCTCAATTAATTCTTATAACATGCTTTTTAAGTGATTCTGAGCTCTTTCATGACGCGTGGTTACTCTGCTCTCAGCCTTGCACCAAAACGGTCCTAGCGTTACGCCCCAGTCGCGAAAAATCCGTGCTCCATATCCAGCCTCCCCAAGCTCTCGTCAAATTGTTTATCACCCTCAAAGCGTACTTCTCTCGCTATAGACTTTATCTCAAACCCGACGACGACGCGACGAAAGCGAAAACCCCCCAGGAGGTTTAGGACGCGATTACGAGGGATTGGGATATTGATCGCAATTCATCCACGCGCCTTGAGTCTGTCGCTTTTGATGATCCGCGATCTGCCTACAGCGGTATAGCAACGAAACTGGTGAAGCTACGCAGGCCCGCCGAGGGCTTCGATATTACTGCCCATAATGTCGTTTCCACAAACAACTCCGGTCCGGCCAGTTCCAGGCGCTTTCTTAAATACGCCAGCCGTTGCCTCGAGGTTTCAGTCGGGCTCTGATCCTGTGCGCCGACAGCTCTTCGCCGGCAACGATAGCAACCAGGCCGTCTCGCATAAGAGCTCAGCGCCTGTCTCATCATCGCGAAGCGTCGCAGCTACTGCGCCATCTGCACCAAGGACAACTACAAACGATAATTTGATTGTCCCGAACGCACTGCCCCCTCTTCGATCCGAAAATGTCCCCCCCGTTGTCAAGGCGGCCAGGGCCATCAACGCCTGTCTCCAGTCCGATGGCCGGTATCCTGACTTGGATTCATACTGCCGACGTAGGTTACAAGAGCTTGGATGCGAAGGAATCAGCTAACAAAAATCAGAGGGCGCGTCGTCCGAATACGACCTTGAAAATACCGATTCTGCGATGGCCCCCTTCCACAAAACTCAGATGTACCCCATCCCGAACCAAGTCTTCGACCATTACAATGCTGGCGAGCTTCAGACTCTGATGGGACTCTTTGCTGAGATCAATCACGCCTGGGTCGTTATTGATAACTCGCTGTTTCTATGGGACTACACACACCCTGACCCCGAGCTGATCGGGTTCGAGGACCAACCGCATACCATCCAAGCTGTCGCGCTCGTGCCTCCTAAACCAGGCATTTTTGTCAACACGATCACACACATCCTTGTTGTTGCGACTTCTTCAGACGTCGTTTTACTAGGTGTCTCGGCCACCGCTACCCCTTCGGGCTCCAAGACAGTATCTCTTTATCAAACGAAAATGCAGCTCCCCCTTCGTGGTACCGACGTTCGTGTTATTACTGGATCTGCCAACGGCCGAATTTTCTTTGGAGGAAGCAACGACATCGACATTAATGAACTTTACTATCAATCTGAGGAGAAGTGGTTTTCAAATAGGTGCGGTAAGATCAACCATACGAATCCTGGCTGGTCCTCAGTTGTCACACTGCAAGGCGGATTCTGGTCTCACAAGACTCCCGAACACCTTGTTGATATCGTGATCGACGATTCGAGAAACCTCGTGTATACCCTCTCGAGCCGATCGACCATTCGAACATACCATATGGAAGGCCCCGACCGACTGAACAAGGTTATTGAGAAGGAGAAGGTCCACTGTCTTCGCGACATTGCTCACATGATCACCCAATCTAGGTTGTTAAGTGACCAAGTAAGCATTGTCTCAATTAGCCCTATCTCGAAGCAGGAAGCGGCTAAGCTTCACTTGATGGCCTTGACAAACACTGGATGTCGTCTGTTCTTCAGTGCGACCAGTGCTGCATCCTACATTTACGGTTCCTCGACAAACCTAGCTCCCCAAAGTATGCAGGTTCAGTTTATCAAGTTCCCTCCTGGCCAAACCTCTCGTCGATCAGCTTATCCTGGCGGCGAGACGATCACTGATTTTGAATCTACCTCTCTGTCTTACAGCCGACAAGGCGCTCGATTCGCCCCTGGATATTTCTTGGATTTTGTGAGCAAGGAGTCTAATCCCAACGAGGATACCCTCTTTGTTTCTGGACCTGAGACGGGACGTCTTAAGAACACGTCTCCGACATCTCCTTTCAAATACCATGAATCTGCCAGCTGGATTGACATTGGTAGTCGAGCTGAGGCTGTTGGCTTAATCACAAAACCGTTTGCAGCGGCACCACAACCACTTGGCTTCGGTAATGAGCTGGCTGTGCAATTCGACGATGCGCCCAGCGAGTTCGCAATTCTCACCAACACCGGTGTACACATCGTTCGACGAAGGCGCTTTGTGGACATTTTTGCTTCTGCGATTCGAGGTGCTGTTGGAGATGAGGGGTTGGAACTGGTCTGCCGTCGCTTTATTAATAGTTATGGCCGCGTCGAGACTGTTACTACCGCTCTGGCTGTTGCTTGTGGTCACGGAGGTGACTCTAAACCTGGTGCCGCTCGTGCTATCGACCAGGCAACTGAAGATCGGGCACGATCCGTCTTTGTCGACTTCGGCGGACAGCCTACGATGGCCGAAACCGACAGCTCATCCCTTACGACCGATTCCATTAATCTCTCCTCTCGACACGACGCTCTAGCTCTGTATCTTTCCCGACTGGTACGCCAGTTGTGGAAGTCAGTAGTCATTGCTCCAGGTGTTTCCCCTAACGGTGGTATCACCATTGGATCTACAATTCCCCTTTCCAAGTTGAGTGCTGTTCAGGAGAACCTGGAGCGTCTAAGGAGGTTCCTTGATACCAACCGTGGCCTCATTCAAGGCTTGTCTGGCCCATCTGATCTCCAGCATGTGTCTAGCCGTCAGGAGGAAGTTGCTCTTCAGGCAGAGCATCAAGCCCTTCATGCTCTTCAAAAATTGATGGAGAGCATCTCGGAGGGTATTTCGTTTGTGCTTATGCTCTTTGATGAGCGAGTTGCCGACATTTACACTCGCCTCGATGCTACAGCCCAACAACAACTCAAGGAGCTGACATACGAAAAGCTCTTTTCCCAAACTGATGGCAAGGACCTTGCCAAGCTGCTTGTTAAGGCCATTGTTAACCGCAATATCGAGAGTGGCTCAAACGTTGAAACTGTTGCTGACGCCCTTCGAAGGAGATGCGGCAGCTTCTGTAGCCCAGATGATGTCGTTACTTTCAAGGCCCAGGAACAGCTTAAGCGGGCTTCTGACCAACCTCTTCAGACCAACCAGTCGCGAAGCTTACTTCATGAGAGCTTGAGACTCTTTGAGAAGGTGGCTGGTAGCCTCACTTTTGCCAACCTTCAGAGTGCTGTGGAACAGTATATAGCCCTCAAGTATTATGCCGGTGCTATCCAGCTGTGCCTTGTGGTCGCCCGCGAGAAGGACAGGGGTAACACAGCTCTGTCTTGGGTTAACGACGGCAAGCCCTCTGGAGACCCTCGTGCTAATGCTTTCAACGATCGCAAGCGCTGTTACGACATGATCCACGATGTTCTGAGTCATCTGGATGCTGCATCAAGCAGTGAGCCTGAAATGGTTGATGGCAGGCTGACACTGATTGCTACCAAGAGGCTTGAGGCCTACGAGGTGGTGAACGGGTCGGATGACGAGGTGTTCCACTTTGACCTTTATGAATGGTACATCCAACAAGGCTGGACGGATCGAATTCTGGCTATCGACTCACCCCACGTTATTACTTTCCTTCAGCGACTTGCTGGCACAAACATTGAGCATGCTGACTTGCTCTGCCGCTTCTACACCAACCGAAGTCGATTCTTTGATGCAGCCGAGGTGCAGGCGGAACTTGCTAACTCCGACTTCCCCATCAGCATCAAGGATCGAATCAGATTGCTTAGTTTGGCCAAGGCGAATGCCAATGTTTCAACGACTGGTGTTAGCCGACAGCAACAGCAGCTGCTGAACCACAGTGTTACAGAGCTGCTTGAGATTGCTCACATCCAGGATGATCTCTTGGAACGTTTGAGAGCTGACGACCGCATCGACCCTGAGAGGGCCCTCGAGATTGAGGAAGCTCTCAAGGGCAAGATTCAGGGACTCTCCGAGGTGAGTTTCAACTGTTCTCTCTTAGCCAGTGACAATTACTCACATGTTGCAGCTCTTCAACGACTATGCCGACCAAGCCGGTTACTACGACCTTTGCCTGCTCATCTACCATGTTGCTGATTACCGCAACCATATGACCATTTCGGGTACATGGAGCAACCTGATTCAACAGACACACGATGAGGTCATGTCTCGCCTAGAGAACTCAGAACCAGGAATGCCGTCGCCCCCATTACCTTACGAGTCTGTAACCAGCAAGATCCAAAACATCGCCCACCGCACATCCCTCGACAGCTTCATCTTCCCCATCCAAGACCTACTTCCTGAACTCTGCCGTTACGCCGTGGCTTACCAACAAGATGCCACAATTGGCGCTGATCCCACCTGGCCCGTCCAACTATTCCTCACCTTGGGCGTCTCTCATGACATGATTGTTCGTGTTCTGGAGGGCGTTTTCGATAGTCAAGATTACGGCTTCAGTGGATCTGTGCGAAACCGCATGATTGAGCTTATCGTTTACGTTGTCAACGACTGGGTGGCTGAAGCCCGTCGACGTGGAGGTGCCGGCAAGGGTGGTGCTAT